CTTCATGCTTACATACATTGAAAGAAATCATGGGGTTCATACCCCTTTAAAAAAAAAAATCATTGAAATTTTGAATTGATTTTGAATATTGTGAAAACAATGTTAAGAAATTAGTGGAATCTTCTTTAGCTGTAAAAATCAATAGACTCTTTAATGTAGAGATGTCAACATTGATTATATTGAAATTAGAAAACAAACTACTTGGTTAGCCTTGTGTGAGAAAAAAAGACTACTGGCATGATTTAGGTGTGGTATTAAAAATCAAATAACTCCACCTATTCAAGCTTGATGACTTGAATTGATTTAGGTTTGTTGCTTCTACATTATTGTCAATGAGAAATCAATCTCTATATCATGAAGCCATGTATTTTTCTATTCCTCTTGTTTTTTTTTTCTAAAAGGATAAAATTGATTTAATTCATCACTAAGCTTCTTACTTCAGTTTGTTTTCAACTTGCCTGTGTTTTTTTGTAAATAGTCCTATAGAATATGCCAGTTTCTTATTGAAAAAAGGATAAATAATAAAGCCTAGACGTAATCGCTTGAAAGCATCATTTTCCACGTTTGTTACATGATGAATTTCAATTTTAGTTTTAAAGATTAGTTTTAAATTCCACAATTCAAAAATTTCTCAGGGATTGAGTGATAATAATTTAATTGCTATATGGCAGTATTTTGCATGGCAGTATTTTGCTCTATATTAAGTAAAGACACATTGGATACACATAGATTTATAGGCTTAAAGTTATGAACAATATTACTGATTGGCTTAGCTAAAACATTCTGGTTTCGAGTTGAGGTACGATTGGTGAAATAGATACAGCACAAGTCTAATCAAATGAAGTCTAATCAAGTCTTATCAAATGAAGTCTAATCAAATGTTGTCTAATCAAATGTGCCATCATAGCACACTGATACACCTTGAACAATTCTCCAGTGAAAGCAAACTTGTCCCATTAAAGTCACACTTTCTCCCAACTTCATCGTCAAGCCAATTCAAACTTATACCTTGACTGCAATAACCACCTTTCTTGTGAAACTGAGAAAACTTTCCCTCATTGCATTTTCCTAAAAAACTCATTTCCTATCTGATCGACCTTGTTCTTATAACTTTAATAAGTGCCATTGAACCAAACTATAAGTGCCATTGAACCAATCTTGAAAAAAACGCTCTTTTAAAAAATTTTAAACTGCTTTCATAAAAATGTAACAGCTAACTGAATTGTTATCTTAAGAATTGATTTATCTGAAGATTTTATCTTTTGATTTCATTTTAGTTTTCAGATATATAAGATTTATTTCAGAAGAAGAATAGAATGTTATTTCTAGTTATTGTTTGTGACTTGACAACCCATAGGGAAAATATTGAAATGGATGTGACATTTTTGTAATTTCACACTTCAAGTACTTATTGAGACATATTTCAACATATTAGAGAGTTTCTTGGCATTACAAAACAACATGATTCATAACATCTGATATAAAAAGATTAAAATATAATTGAAGACATTTGCTTCTCTAATTCTGTTTGATGTAGAACATGTTATTCAACAAATTCAATTCATTGCCAAGATTTTAATATTTCACTCACTATACCATTATTATTTGTAAGAGATGGAAAAACGATAAATATTCTGGGTTTTGTTTGTGTATTGCTATTGGACACACTTTTTGCTTCTGTTTGCAAATTTATTGAATGGCATCTGGTTCATGAAGTTCTTTACAAACTCAATCAGACTATTGACATCTTATTGCAAATAAAGGCTTGGTTTTTTATTTGCGAATGATGTCCAAATCTGTTTTTTTCTAGAAATTACAAGATCTACAGAAGGCAGACTAAGCGCCAAATGTTTGCTCAAATCTTAGAAGTTTCAGCCCAGAATTTCTTTGAACATTGAGATTAAGTATGAAATAGTGAGACTTGTGTGGTCAAGACTAAACGAACTTAATTAAGAATTGCCAGATAGTTGGAAGTTGAAAAACAATCTGTGCTCACTGTATATTAGCCTGGTAATATTCTCTCTCTTGTACTCTACATATAAGCCAACTAATTAGAAAATACAGGTTGAGCTATTTATATCCAAGAAGAAATTGAATGAATGTACAGAGTTGAACTAGATGTTAATATAGAAACACTGTGAAATTGGAAGAGAGAACTGGTATATCTGGAAATGACATACAATCACTAAATAATCATATTGCAAACTGCAATCCTTCTACTACAATTAGACCATTAACTTGAATTACTGCCAATATTAATATTTGTTTACTATCATCAACTTACTGTTATAGACATGATTACATATTACATTTCACCATGTTAATGCATAGGGTTTTCCTATAACTAAAAGTCTGTTAAAAACTAAGCTTGGTAGAGAATTTGGACAACATTATTATAAAATAGTTTTTAAAAAGTACACCAATGTGTGAATTGATTCTATGTGATATTTTTAGTAATTGTTAATTCTATAAATTTTAGTTATCTCTTACTATAACAAATTTTCACTTAAAATTCTTCAAATGCACCCATTTTTTCTCTCTTTCACAACAACAAGCTTTAGAATTTTTATAAGTATAATGCAAATTATCAAAGTGTTCTGTGGATAGAGTGTATTTGAAATCCACTTGCTTTCATGATTCAGTAGTATTTCAACAATTACTTTTACAGACATAAAAACAATCTCTTTGAATTGGTTTAAGATTAAAAAGGGTTGTGATTTATGCCAAGCGTTTAAACAACAGTTTTATGTGTAACTCTTGAAATTTTAATGAAGTTATGCCCCCTTGTTTAAAGCTCTTCTAACATCAAAGATGGGAGCTGTTATCAACACCAAAGACTGATTGCTTTACATTTAAAAAAAAAGGGAAGATAGTTTTGTGTCATAATGACATTAATTTTACCAGTGCAGTAAAAATTGACTTTACTTTAAAATAATCTTATCTTTTTAAATGGGGAGCTTAAATAAATCCAAGTGAACCATCTAAAATCATCACCATTCCATCAGATCTTTATTTCTGTTGCATGGAAAATGGTAATAAACAGGGATGTAACTTTCATTTTCTCTGAGTTAAAATGATACTGCATCTTAGTATGAACAAAAAATTGCATTTCTCAAGAATTGTCAATATGAGTATATATTCATTTTTAGCCCAGTTTCAATAATACAGATCTGAGATACTGAAATAAATAAGCAACTTGTATTATTTCCCTCATTGCACAATGCATGTAATGATCTTCATTTTACACAAGCTAAGAAAAGTCATACAGAACTCTGGTATCATTTGATATCATTATATTGCCTATTAGGTTACAGGCTGAAATTAGGTTGATTATCAGTTGAAATGATTCATTGTAATTGAAGGCTTTAAGAGTGAATAGTCCATCTCCTCACATTTTTCTTCTTTTAATGATGAAGTTATAAAACATGTAAGGAGATTGGGTACTTTATTTTATTAGTAATGGTACTAATTTTACACTACACAGTATCACAGTTAAGTACCTACTGTTTAATGGTTCCATAATAAAACAGACTAGTTTCTAATAAAATAAAAATAAAATTACATTTTACTCACGTAGTTAGAGTGGTCTGGACTAGAGTAAACTTATAAAAACTGAAAACAATTTCAAATTAAGCTCTCCTAGAAACAAGAACTGGCTGTCTCAGGAGGTAAAGTATTCATCATCACAATGTCAAACATCAGCTTATACCTTGACTGTATTAACCATCTTTCTTGTATCATTGTAGTATATAACTGCAGTGTTTCATTTGGATTGTACATCAGCGAAAACGGTCCGGAGAGGAAGTTTGAAACATTAAGCCATAATGTTGACTTGTTTCTGTCTGGCTGTATTTACTGGCATACAATCCAATCAAATTCTGCAGTATGATATAGAAGAAAGGTGGTAGTCAAGATATAAGATGAAGTTTATGAAAGCTTGGCATTGTGGAAATAGCTTGAAAGTTTTTTTATGTACAATGAAACAAAATATATTTGAATCTTTGTGGGTTTGAATCTTTGAGGGGTCACTCGCAGCCCCGAGAGCATATTTTTTAGGCAAAAATCTCTAGGTCAGAAATTCGGGCGACCTCAGATATTTCCCCCACCCCACCTTCGACGTAAACCTGGCTCCACCACTGGACTGGACTAAGAAACTAGACTGTGGTAAACAGAAAAAACAGTAAATGACTTTCTCTGAGAATGAAACTGAACAAGTAATAAAGTATCCTTTTATCTTTTCTTTATATCTCTATATCACACAACTATCTGATATATTTTACTAATTGATGCTTCTTTCTAAATATAACTTTCAAGGAGTCTACAAGTTCTTCACTGTAGTACCGGTAGTTTTTTTACCATCCTGACCGAAATGATACAGTTTCAGTAAAGCTTTTTACTTTGACTACAATACCCATTGTTGCATATATACAGTGATTGGATTGTATGTTAGTGAATACAACCTATCAGAGCCCTCAGCTGGAAGTCTGTAAATGATAAGCCATAATGTTAAAAAAGTCTTTCTGTTGAGACCTTTAATTGGCTTATTGCTTTGCAATCAAATCAAATCGCTGCATTTAGTGATAAGTAATAATAATGATTTATTTATTAAAATGTCACACAGCATAAAACATATTAGAGACAGGCGGTTATTGCAGTTGAGGTATAATAGCTTGATATTGTGAAGATGCACACATTGTTGTTTCTGCTATTCCATATATTTGTTGCAATTAACAATTTGGGTGGTCAATAAAAAAGTCTTGAGCTCTAGAGCCAATGGTGGATTGAAATGTTATTGCTGTTGTATTGAATGATGATTTTTCTAACAATATGATACATTTTGGCCAGCTTAAGTCTGGGAAAATGAAGTGGATTTATCTAACGTTCAGTCAGCTGGTTTTTTTTTGGCTCATTAAACATTTACAGCACTATAAACTAATACATGTTATTAAGTCTTAAATTTAGCTTGCAATGATTGAGATTATGTATCGTTATATTTTCAGGCAATTTATTCGAATTCGTATCGTGGATTTTGAGGAGTATGAGAAAAGTGAAACCTTTTATGTGACTTTAGGAGAACCCTATATAGCTAAGAAAGGATCAGGTTAGTGCCTTTAAGCTAATTACTTTGATTTCCTTCTGTATTTCAAGTTAAAGACTACCAATGATATATTAAACGTGAAAAATCATTGTGTGTTATCACGCTATATACATGATTTATTTTCTGCCTTTCATCTTTATTGATGTTTAGAAGCTTTCACTATGTAGAATTCTATAGAGAGGCACTGTTTAAAGGGACTGTCACTGTCTAATATTTCTCGCCAAATTTGCTGTAAGTTTGTACTTTAATGTGCAAAAGCTTATGGTCTAAATGCCAAATCAAGTGCTTTGTAAGCATGTTTTATTTTCAACTATATATTATCTTACCCTAAATTTGCTTTATTAGATTACAAGTACTGAATAAAGTGGTACAGTCCTTTTATGTCCAATATATATTATGTATCTCTTGAAATATTCTTCATTCTTATACCCTTAATTGATTTCTTTAGTCATCTATTTTACCATAAGTATGGTACCAGCGACTGATGAAAAAATCTGTTAAATTCATATGTAGTCAATGATGTAAGAAGATGTACATGTTGTAATCAGTAGCTCTCTAATGATATTGTGATTGAAATGAATTTAGGTCCAGACTCAATTTATGGATTTGTTATCAAAAATCCAATTTAGGTGAAGAAACAGACTCTGATATTTAGAAATCAGAAATAATCATTTAACAAAATTACCCTGCTATTTTCCTTCTCTTTCAGATATAATTTGGTTAAATTTAGATTGATTTTCTGTGTAAATTGAATTGAATTGAATGTCTTCTTTCAAAGCTATCATCTTTTGACATTTATCTTCATTAAGCTTATAAAATATTATGATGAGCCTTTATGTTGTACAGCCATACTGTTATGCAAACTGATTAGAATTTTCTACTAACCAGAACTTTACTATGATTGCCAATTTCCATGATATTTATTCATTTGAAATGAGACTGACTAAAGTCTGTGATTTGGAATATAATTTACTTGACTTTCTCTTAATCAATAATTCTTTATTACAGGAATCATTCGAATATATAAGCTTAATCAACTAGCAGTAATAAGTAATTAGGTTAAATTGATTTTTCACCTTAACTTCTGATGAGAATTTCTTTTCAGGTGCTTGCATGATTTTAATTTCTTTCTACCTCTTTCTACATTCAACAACAGGTTGTGTTGAGGCGAATTTTTTTTCTTTTGGCTGCGTTTCAAATTAACTAGAGAAATACTTCAATATGGCATTTTCTGTGGTGTGAAATATATATTATGCAACTAGTTGAATAGAATAGTTTTGTGTCTGTATTTCACTGCTTAACAGTGACAGAAATTGATTTTCAATTTCAAGTTTCTATTTTATGGTCTTGAGATTGAGAGCCTGGTGTTAGTAGGCTACAAAATTTAATTTCCCTGGTCTCTACGATATATCTTACGATTAAAGAGACAGTTTAAGGCAATTGAAAATAAAACAAAATGAGATAAAAGGCAAGCAGAAAATTGAATTGAATAACATTTTTTATGCAATTTGAAACTTCGTTTATCTAGAAATGAATTTAGAAATATTAAAACAGAACCTAAAACCTAAAAAAACAAAAAACCTAAAAAAAAAAAACATAAACAAAAAAAAAAACCAACAGATCCAAAATAACGACAAAACTTACTTAGCTGAAGATTGCTTAGTGTAAAACTCTGAGTAACAACCTGGTTTGATATTTCAATATCGCTTTACAATTGATGTATTGAGCACTATTTTAACAGTGGTAGTTCTGTATGGCTCAACAGTGAAAATGTTTTATTATTGTTGAAATGCGTAGTGGGATGTTTGGAAAATATTTCAAATGTGACTGATTGGAGAGTTCTGAATAAGTTCTGTCTATTCCAGTTCTGACCCCAAATCGAACAATATGAAAGCGAATATGTCACATTCAAAATTTTCCTAGTCTATTTCCTTCTTTGCCATTTTGAGTTCTGTCTGCACCTACCATTTGTTTATGACTCACATTGAACGTGTTCTGAACTCTGTTCCAACTTGTTTTATTGAATGTTCTGTTGATTTCATAAATCCAGATCACCAATCAAGCGAACCCTAGATTTTGAAATTCAGTTCCTCTTTTTTCTTTGAATTTGTACGTTCTTATCTGTTATCTTATATAGCAAAGTTTCAATTTTGAACCCACATCCTATCATCTTTGAAGCATATTTTGCCCAGAAGTATTGGAGAAGGTCTTTCTGAAACTGGCCTCATTTTCCAATGTTATTTACCACCACAAGCTTTGTACCAGGTGTGAATACAGACCTTGAATCATCTAATAGTCTGATACTAAACTATGAATGTTTTATTATGTGAAATACTAGCCTCACCTGTTCTTAATGATTTATAACTGTAGTAATTCACTGAATACCACCATCTTGATAATTCACTTCAACTCAATCATTTTATCTTATCTGATTACTTAGCTTTTACATCATTTTCTATGTTGTCTGATTATTTCCTTGTTAAAATAATCTCTGAATCAGAATGTGAATTCATATTTTGATTGATGATAAATTTAATTAGGCATCTTTTTATAGGCCATGCCTATATGAAGTGAACGATAAAAGCTCCTTCATCCCAGTTGAATTTCTATGACCTTCTTATTATATGTATGTCACTTTGCCATGGACAGATTGTACAAATTTTTGTAGTTGGGGATCATTTCTGCTTTGAAATATCATCATGATCTTGTAAAGCATCCAATTGAACTTCTCCACTAACAATAATAGAACTAGAATAGAATAGTCTAGAAATTTCAATGTAAATTTTCAACACAAAAATAAACTTATTTGAAAAACACGACATTAATCATTAAAAATTAAAAATTTAAAGGGACAGGTGTGCCATTTCAGGGGTTGATTTTAGGATTGAATACATAAGAAGTACAGGAAATGTACAAAAATCACATAATTACTGATAAGCTCAGCTAAAAAATTTCAGTTTCTGAGACTAAAGTTTGATTGGTCAAAAAAATGACCTACCTGTCCCTTTAATGTTTCATCAAAAGGACACTTTATTTTTTTTTGACCAAACATAGTAAAATCAACAAGTTATCGTGCAGTTTCTACATTTGTAAAAACTTACCAACTAAAACTGTTGCTCAATGATGTCTAAATATAATGAAAACACTATCGATTTGAATTTGTGTCACATTTCTTACAATTTTAGTGGCTAACAAGCATAATGATTTTGAATGAATTTCTTGATAGTCTGAATCATTTTGTAAAAGGTTAGATCTCTTAACACGATCAAACAATTCTTGGGTGATATAATTGTAGACACTTCTACTTTAAACAGATCTACCTGATTGCATACACTATTGAAGAAATGTCAGCTAATTAAAATGATCTATTTTTAGTTTTATTTTTTTGATTTGTATTTTGATAAATATATATTACAAGGTTGTTTAGTGCAGGAATGTTTATTAGCTATCACAATTTGAAGAAAATGTTTTGATCATTAAGGCTCTCACGGTTTCTGAACTGATTCATTCCTTCTTCAAGTGATTGATTTAAAATCAAATTGTTCAATGAGTTTTTAAAAGTTCAAGTTGAATGATGTTTGAAAGGATAAGAGATTGGAAATTTATATTAGCAAATACTGCAAATTGTAGCAACAATTTGATATAAATTCAACCAAACAATATTATTAGCAGTTGTCAAACTATAGGCACTGATTTGGAATCAAATTGCTATGATTTTTATTTTTCAGAGATGAAGATATTGCACAATTTAAGAACTTGGAAATGTATTTTTTGAAAATACTTCAAATTGTAATCCCACAGTTTTATAAAACATCGATCTTCATTACGATATAGTCAAACAAACAATATTTGTAGTTTTCAGACACTAAACACTGATATGAAATCAAATTGCTGTACACATACTATTGATATTTCAGAACTGAAAGATATTTCCCAGTAAAAGAATTCCAAAAAGTAGGCCTATTTTAGCAAATACTGTAATTTGTAATCCCACAGTTTTATAAAACATTGATCTTCATTATGATATAGTCAACCAAACAATATTTGTAGTTTTCAAAAAGTAGGCACTGATTTCAAATCAAATTGCTGTAGGATTATAATATTACGCAGTATAAGAATTCGGATGTAGGCCTATTTTAGCAAATACTTTAAAAATTGTATAACCCAGTCCACCAACAATATTATGAAGAGAAGTAAAATAATGGCCACAGGATTTTGAGTTTTCGGAGCTGAAATATATTTCGCTACATAAAAGAATTTGGAAATGTATATTTTTCATATAAATTTCATAGCTGAAAGATATTTGGCAGTATGAAAGCTTTAAAAAATGTCTGTTGGCTATACCTCTAATGTTAATCCAACATTTATCTTCACTCTTATAAGCTATTAGTCCACCATACATTATTTACAGTTTTCAAACATGTAAACTTTGTTCTTCTCCTGTTGGAAATAATTATATCCTGCAGCTAGTTTAGAGGTCTGCTCTTGTTTTAGAATCAAAGACCTTTACTTACTTTCCTCAAGATCTGCCAGTGCTAGAGAATGATTTTCCTTTCAGGCAGTTGCACTTGTTTCCCAACTGTAATCATGTGATTTATTCATGACATGAAACCTTCTGTATAAGTAAATTGATTATGGAAATTTCCTATGATAAATCCTACTGAAAAATTCAGATGCTAGGAAAGAAAATGGAAATGGAAACAAACAGTGTCAAGTCAGTCACGCTACATGATAAAAAGATTTGGCACATTAAAGTCTGCTTTATTCTAGAAACCCCAAGGACCAATTCATAGGAGATAGCTTGTGAATAAGGAAAGGACAATTTACGGCAAAATTTATCTTCTTCTACAGTGCTTCACCTTTCATTATTAAAGGGACAAGTGCGCCATTTTTGGGGGTTGATTTGAGTTTTGAAAATATGTAAATAGTCTTCAGAGGTACTAGAATTGTATGAAAATCGCATAATTCCTTCAAATATATCAAAGTAGGAATTTTACTCACTATTTC